CCGCAGGGGCTGATCAAGCCCGAAGAGCGGTGACTAAGTCGTTGATCTCACTCCTGATGCTGAGAAGCACAATAGACGCATCTGCAGCTGAACCGGGCTTTTTTTGGGTTTTCATAGTATTCCGTCCGTATTTGATGAGTCATGGACATAGTAACTAGTTTCTACTTCTGACTTTTCTAAAAGTCCCTCCACGGAGGACAATATGGATGTCCCTATAAATATGAACACGCTGGTCGCCTGGAATAAGTAACTCCTATCGAAGAAAAAACATCGCAACTTTATCCCCTGGTAATTGCTTGTAGTACGAAGTCCCAGCCAATGCAGTCCATGTAATCGTTGGAACACTAGAACCCGAGCACCACGCCAGTGCGGTGGCCTATGATAGAGAAGACTGCAAGAGTTTCTGTGTCATCCTTACGCAGGGTGACCTAAAGCTGTCAACTTTTTGTGGTGGTCGAGTTCAGTGCTACAATGATACTGCAGGCCACGTTGGCTATAACTCATTTCCTAAAGGTTCAAGCGTACCAGGAAGGCCAAAGTGGGAGGGGCCAGATCGATTCTTGAACACGTCTCAAACGTCTCACGTTGGTCGTATTTCTTGCTCTCAAGGCTGATTCTGACTCTGCAAATCGGCAAAAGTTTTGGTTGTGTTTGGCGACCAAAGATGTGATTTCTAAATCTCTACCCCTCATCAGGGCGCTGTATATGAACTCCTATGGGTGCATACGGCGATATACAAAGCTTTCGCGTGAGTTCACTACGTTCAATGGTTCAGGACAGGGCTGTTCCCTTTCACTGTTCCTCTTTCATCCGCCTCTAAAGCCTCCGGAACAGAAATGCTCGCGGTGCGTTCGCTCAAAGACATTGAGTATGCGGATGATATTGCTCTCCTTGTTCCACATCCTTCACAGATGCGAACCATTTTGAATAACCGGACAAACTTCGCCGCACGGTTAGATATGCACTGCATATCTGAAAGGTGTGAAGTGCTGCCACATGACTGGGTGGGGGCTAAGCCAAAACCTCAGGCTTGCAGGTGAGTCAACTGACGTGGTAGAGAAATTTATTTATCTGGACGGTTATATAAACTTCGGTGGATTGGCTGAAGACGAGAGTACTCCTCGAGCTGGAAGGCAAGGACAGCTTTCGTCAACATCTGATGCCTGTGGATCGGAAAGACGGCGCGTGCAGGATGTACGGAAACTTTGGACGTTTGGCCATTGGTGCCTCCAAAGAATTAGTCGGGTGTGGTCGTACAGGATGTACGGAAACTTTGGGCGTTGACCATCGGTGCCTCCAAAGAATTAGTCGGGTGTGGTGGGAATAAAGAATAAGCAACATTGAAGTGTGCAGAAGTTCGGCAGAAAGAACTCTCTGATAATGGACGCGCTCAGTGACTAGAGCGCGAAGTAACTGACGGGAAGGCCTGTGGTTCGAACGCGACGACGCTTCTCGACTTCCCCTGTCTAGGTTTTGGCAACATGGCAGTTTTCCAGCCCTCATGCTTTCATCTGGTGGCATAGCAGTCAGGCACTGAGCGGGTGCCACAGCTGATCGATATTACGCTGGCTACGACATCCACTTCAAATGAAACGGGACCATGTACCTCGCAGCTGTCATTTCGCTCGGCCGTGTTGAGTGGAAGCGACTGGGAAATAGGCCGTCTATGACCTGGTAACGAAGTATGCAAGGAATGGCCAGTAAACGTAGTTGGGTTGAAAACTATCAATTCCCTGGATGGGGATCACGGAAGTCCATACATCACTTATTGGTGACACTGGCGTATAAGGCTCACTCACGCAATCAGTGATGCTCGAGTTATCGCCTTCAACCCTTAACTGCCCAGTTTTCCGAATTGACTGATCGTACCATCGCCTCAATGTCTGAATATACCTCCCCGCATTCCAGTTTCCCGGTGACCGAAACTATGGTACCTGAAGTCACGTGCCCTTGGTACATGATTTACAGCTGATTAACTAGAGAAAACTGGGATGCTGCATCGCTTTCAAAAGTATGCCAAACTGACCAAACCGCGAACAATTTGAATGTAACAGATCGAGTTTGGTATCTCTATAGACAATAAACATGCATAGACAAGTAATATTAATCCGGAAAAATTAACTCACTTTGCCTTGGGACTCGCCTCCCGTCCGGCTTTTTTGAAGTTTTCGTAAGTTATATATTTTTTCCCATCAGCATCCGGTGCACTACGGTATTTATCCAAAATTAACCACAAATTCTGGCAACGGAAGAGGAACACCATCCAAGAAACTAAGTTACCAATACCTGTAACTCCTCTTCTCCCATGAGTTCGTGACTTTTTCGTTCTAAGATGGTGGCTCTGCAAAACAATACACGAGGACAGTTCACAAACGGACTCTTTCCAAATATTACCTGGCTTCTTGACGTAACTTTTGTGGCAATACTTCATGATCTTGGGGAATCTGTGTGATGGAGTTGAAAACCAAAGTGACTCAAATGAGAACGTACGCGGTGAAAAAATTCGGGCAGTTGTTCTTCAAGCACCCTGGATTCCTTACCGCCCCATGCGGTATAGTAGTGCTTGAAAAGTTCATCTTCATCGGTAACAGAGGCGACAGCGGCGTCAGACTGCATAATCACGCCAGTTTTATTTGGTCCGCCTTCCATATGCAGCCAGAGGAATCGATGGCCTATTGACCACAGTCGCCGAACTGAACTACATTAATTCGTTAGTGGAAGACAGGCTAAAACGCATGAGAAGGAGTGTCTCATTATGAAGGATGAAAATTTGCCACTTCGTTACGGAGGATAATTAATGTTATCTCATTAGCTCAGTGTATATTTGAGCCAGTCATCGAATGTTAAACACTCCCTAGCAGCACACGCAGTCCAAAATAACCGTGTTTTCCGGTTATTGCTCGGTTGAATAACCGTCAAATAACCGACTTCAACCGCCCTATAACCGACTATTAACCGAGTTATGCCGCTAGGGCTGTCACCGATGTAAACGTCAAATCACTGTGCTACCCTGCCGGTTGCAAGTAGATGTAAGGCAACAGGCACAGATAATACTATCCAAAATATAGCCAAGGAACGTTATGCAACCATTCTTTGCACAGAGAATAACTAAGAAAAACAGCTGTCATCAATTGGTAGCTATCGAAACTCAAATCATTACACGCGTGGTCTTAAATTATCGGCGTAGAAGTTTGTCCAGAAAACCAACTGCGTTGACATGTTTAGAGAGGTACCGTAAAGCCAGTTGTTCAGTTAAAGAGACATGCCTAAACATTAAATCGATCAACATGGTTACTAAACCATGTTTCGTTATGACTGATACAATCCCAATGAAGCTGTGAGTGGGAACGACGTGATTCCTGCATCTTTGCAACAGGCATGTGCATTTAAATAAAACATGTAGGTGTCCCTTCTTCAGCGGTGGTGGGGCAATCGTGTTAATATGCCTGTTCATTCACCTTTACCATGCCGACCACCTGGCTCTACGCGACATCAACATTTTACCCGTCTGGCCAACTGTCCTTCATCTTCCTTGTAGCCAATGGGTTTATTTACTTTGTATTCTCCAGCTGGTAAGCCCGCGTCTTCCATATTAGGACGTATTGTGAACCGCCTCCCCCTTTGTTGTCCACGGCCTTAGCTAATAACCCGATACTCGAGGTCACCCAATCAACGCGGGGATTATCACTTTTAGTTCAAAATTGCCGTGGTTTAGTTTACCATGTGTTAGTGAAGCTGGTTCCACCATCCTACTGTACAGTTTCTGATCGTCCATTTCCTCTCCCACTCCATTTCCACAAAATTTTTGGTCTGTCTTCAGCGCTTCCTCTATAAACCGGAACCCGAAAAATGGATCCGAAAATTTTGCCGTGGTAGCTTCCTCGACCAACTTAAACTGCAACCAGCTTCGGTGGAGAAAATATAGGGAACCATTGTTCAAAGATTTACGGGACTGACGCAGTGTTCGTCCCTCCAATCAACTGGCACACAGTCGGATAACCCAGAAGCTAACCAAAATTATTCGGCGGCATCTTGAAACGACATCGCAACTATTCTTGAAAAAGATAACTAAAAGAGACAGAATATGGGCTCACGTCTTATGAAATTTAGAGCCACCGTAAATAGAAAACCAGGCCACCGGAACTTTAGAAAATAGGTCGCGACACTAGACATCGCCGGGAAGACGGGAATGCGCTATTTAGGTAGACGAGCCTCCGCCGATGAGATAAACCAACCGTCATCCCCTTCAGGGACAGGAACGGGGAACCCACAGTTGACCCAATACTGGTATCTGAAGTCCACAGAGGAGACCATATAGGCCTGAATTCTGCTCCAGCGAACCCATCACATCAATGGATGTGATGGGGTAGCTGGGGTCGCCCGGGGAGAAGGGCGTACGTCAATTGTATCACAAGATAAACCCATTCAATACAAAACTTTGTTCGTTCGAGAATCAAGAGATAACGCTGCTTTCATTGTAAAAGCACTTCTTTTTTATTTCCTTGCAATTCCAGGCGCTTGCAACTGACCCGACAATTAGTTTTTCTGATCGCGCAACTACGACCTGGCTTCACGGTCAACCTCATGCAGGTCGGGGAATTGTGCTCATTAAAGGCCCCAGGCCTGTACTCACACTGTGTGGTGAACATTGACTCTATTCTATTCATTCTGTTTAGTGTATTTTTATATGCCTTTGTTTTACGATGCGATTGATAGTACGCCCGCGATATTCGAGAATACACGATATTCATTCGTCCATATTCGGACTTCTATACTACGCGTACATTCGGTAGTTAAGATACCTACCACTATTCTAAATATCACACATAGCCGAATGCTAAATGCTAAATTAACTACCATTAACTCCTGGACTACTCAAAACTGCATAGCTGATGCAAAAATCACGATCATATTATAGTTCCATTTGGCTAAACATCGAAAGGAAACAAGTTGCAAGTTGATCTCAAAAATATGGCTTACATCGAAACTAAGTAGATTTACCCGTGTCGATGTTGCAGGGAAGTCAGCTGTAAAGGATAGCTCTGGTGGAATAGGCAAACCTTAATTGCACCTGAAAATATGGTACGTTAAATCCAAACTTAAGATTCAGTGAGTTAGAACGAACCCTACCCAGAGGCGAAAAATTTGTTCGTAGTTGCGATTACAGGCTTGAGTAGGCGAAAGATGACGGTCGATGGTAGGAAGAAAATATTTGCGTGTTGGGCCCCATCCTCTTCTTTATGTATATCAAGGACGTCTCCGGCGCCGTGTCCCACGATGAAACCCTCCTCTTCACAGGCGGTTTAAAAACCGTGCACACATTTCCTCCCTCTACACAAGCGCTCATCTTTTGCCATATCCAGCAAGACTTGGACTCGCTGGTCAAATGACTCTGGCCTAAGTTTGTTTCCTGCAAAATCCTGCCGCGCCCCTCCGGTTAATGCCCTCATAATTAATTGGAATCTTGTCACTCAATCCACAGAGATAAGAGATTTTGTTCTAGGATATTCTTACACATTCAGCTTTTCCCACCAAGCCCAGTTCCAAGTTACCCGAGCGCGTAGGCTCAGCTGTCTAATACTACGCTCCTTTCACATTCGAGGTGAAATGGTCGCCATATTCAATCTATGGAATTCTGTCCCACAATCAGTAGACCGGAAGCGTCCGACGCTTATTCACAAAGAGATTTCCCACAGTCCAACCCTCCTTCCTACCGCTCTTGTCGTAAAATTTAAGGCCTTGAATCACAGAGACTAGACCTAACGTTGTTCACGTCCTCACTGTTCATTCCGTAACTTCAGTGGCCTCTTATTATGCATCTCCACCTCGTACAAACCTGCGCCACCACTTCCTTGTAATTTAATAAGCATCAAGGAACGTCTTCCCAAGCAGCTTTGAAACGATACGCATCACCATACTTTTCGGAATCCGTGGATAATTTACTTACCTGTGAACCTGCTGCCGCTTTACTTAATACCCAAATAATCCAGATCTCCTTCGTGAATCGGGTCTCATGCATATTTAAGGGCGGCGATGGCGTAGTCACTGGGAAATTATAAGATCATGCTATTATAACTTGCTATCCCCTTGGCTTGATTCAAGCCACTTTTTCATGCGGAATGCCCGCTCGATCTCAATGCGCTGTGTTACTGATATGTATCGGAATCCGGTACGACCAACGGATATACGCGACCTGAGAACCAGCGCACAACTCCCCAGCTATGACGCGAGCCCAACCACCCCTAGCGCAGACAGAGAAAAAGACCAGACCTTCAGAAGAGGGCTTTTACTGCCCCAACCAAAGGCGAATTACAGTGAGGGCAACGTCGTATATATATATATTTCGAGCGACCTTGGGGAGCGATAAGTCAGTTAATGCACACAAAGTATAACTGGCTAATAGGAAAAGAGCGCGGTCTTTACGGATTGAGGTGCAACATGGCGGAAAAGGCGCGAAATTAAAAAATTGAAAAATTTTTGAAAATAAATTGGCAATAACTCGGAAAATAAGCAGCTTTTGGGGATACTGATATCCCCAACATCTCCCCTTGTGAAAAAATGTAAATAACGTGTTTTTGGGAGTCCGTTTGAAAAAAATTGGTTTGACATCGATAGCGATCTGTCCGTTTTCTTGGTAGAAGGTTTGGCCCGCTGGCTGCTGCGTTCTGTGTTGCCTGCTGCACTACATCAGGCCTTTAGTTCAAAGGTGTCAAGAAGTATGTTGAGCGGGAGTTCGTTCTGGGATGCCGGTCGCTCTGAGAGATGGCATGGACGCAGTTGATTCCTGTGTCGAGTCCAGATGTCTTGGCCCACAGAGACATCGTACATTACACTGCCGCGTTTTCGTAACACGTGTCCCGCGATCCAGCGTTCGTGCTTTGGTCGATAGTCTCGGGCAAAAATGCTTCCACCTACTTGGAATTGGGCCGGTTTTGTGTTCACGTCAGGTCGGGAACGAGCCATCGGTGCCGGACACGGCCGGATTGGTAGTTCGCAATTTCGGGCCCATGAGCGCTTCGGCGGGTGACTTCCGATCTTCTAGAGATTCATTTGGAGTGGTCCGATAAACCAAAAGAAATCTCTGGAGAACTTCGACGGGCGTCCCCTCCCCTC